GATCTCTTGGGCTTCTTCTTCCCACCATGTCTCCTCTACCTTCTAGTTTTGTCTTGGGTTTCAGACTTCAGCTTTTGGAAAATTACCTTCTTGACTGTGACCTTGGATTGTTCTGTCTGGCAATAAAGGCTGCTTGTTTGTGTTTTAGGAAGTCTGTCAGTTCAGCATTTTCATTAAACCAGTCCTGGTGATGACAATGCTTCAACCCAGTGCCTGACCAAAGGAGCCTAGTACAGCTGACTTTATTTGATAATACGCTTCTGGAACTGAGTTGGATGTGTGATTTTTCCAGATTGGTCATGAGCCGCACTTGGAATTCTTCTTTTCTTGTGGGCTGCTTTAGGGCTGAAATGTTGATCATCATCTTAGTCTTTGGGTGTTACACTTCCACCTAGCACAAAGACATTGCAGGTCAATGATCTGTCCAACAAGCACCAGTCTCCCACATGGATCGAGTGATACAGGTATCACTTCGATCTTTAATGTCAGCAATGACATAATCCAGGAAGTACCAATGCCTGCTTTTTTCTAGAATGCGTCTGTGGTTTTATATTGTCACAACTTTGGAGTGGCGCTGAAAATCAAGTCCAGCTGTTCCAAAGTCGTCACAAAATATTTTAATGTAGTTTGCAAAGATTCTCCAATTTACCTACCTGTTCAGACCCAGACAGACAGAGTGCATGGAGCAGATTTCTCAACTTAACAAGATTATAATTTATAATAAATAAATAGATGCTAGCCGTGTAGACAACAATGAATTGTAGACACCTATTTTTATTAGTTAAAACTCTAGTCCTCTTCTAAAAAACCCCCATACACTGACAGACGTAGACAGAAAACATTATTTCTAAGCGTAGCTGGAAAGGGAAAGTACAGTAGCTTTGTTCAGGTTTTAGATTTTTTTTACTGCAGAGAGAAAAACACCACATCCCCTTCTCGAGGTCCAAATGCTTCTGGCAATGTCACTTGTACTCACAAGCTGTTCCGTTACCCAGGAGCCAACCACGTAGTTGTTGCCAAGCAGGTGGCCTTTGTCATCACAAGCTGGTCACAAATCCACAAACTGAGGGCATTGTGGCTAAATTTGCAGATGACACGAAAATAGGTGGAGGGACAGGTGGTGTTGAGGAAGTGGGGAAGCTGCAGAACAACTTGGACAGGTTAGGCGAGTGGACAAAGAAATGGCAGATGGAATAAATACAATGTGTGAAAATATAAGGATATGCACTTTGGTAGGAAGAATAGAGGTATAAACTATTTTCTAAATGGAGAAAGGATTCCAAAATATGAAGCACAAAAGGACTGAAGAAAATGAGTTCAGGATTCTTTTCACGGTTAACATACAGTTTCAGTTGCCAGGAAGGCAAATGCAATGTTAGCATTCATTTCATGAGGGCTAGAATACAAAAACAGGGATGTACTGCTGAGGCTGGGTGACATGCTAGTCAGACCGTATTTGGAATATTATAAACAGTTTTGGGTCGCATATCTAAGGAATGGTGTGCTGGCCTTGGTGGGGGTCCAGAGGAGGTTTACAGGAATGACCCCGGAGATAAAGGACTTATCATATGAGGAGCAATTGAGGAATCTGGGTCTGTACTCGATGGAGTTTTGAAGGATGAGACAGGGATCTGATTGAAACTTACAAAATACTGAGAGATCTGGATAGAGTTGACACGGAGAAGATGCCTCCGCTAATAGGAGAGACTAGGACCCCAGGGCACATCCTCATAGAGAAGGCACAACCCTTTAAAACTGAGATGAGGAGGAATTTCTTCAGCCAGAAAGTGGTGAATCTGTGGAACTGATTGCCACAGAAAGCTGTGGAGGCCAAGTCATTGAGAGCATTTAAGACAGAAATAGAATAGACTATTGATTAGTCAGGGGATCAAAGGTTACAGGGAGAATACAGGAAAATGAAGTTGAGAAACATATTAGCCGTGATTGAATGGCAGAGCAGACTGATAGGCCAATGGTCTAATTCTGCTTGTATATCTTGTGGTCTTATGGTCCCAGATGCTGTTGCCCAAAAGATACTTCTGTCCCAACCCAGTCCTGAAGAAGGGTTCCAATGCAAAGCGTTGACTTTCCTCTTCCTCGAATGCTGTCTGGCTTGCTGTGCTTTTCCAGCTCCACATTTTTTGACTGTGTCCCAACACAGATGTCCAACAACCTTCATGCAGCTGTCCCCTGGTGTACACATTCTAGATTTAGGGTCTGTCCTCCATTGCCACACAACTTGGCAAATGAACTCTGATATAAGCCTGTATGTGGTTTTGTTTAACTTTGACATTCCATCATTGACCCCATAATCTTGACGAGTTGGCGATTAAATTTCAGTGACACGTCAAGCCACGCTGACCTGGACCACCTTGCAGCTGCAGGCTTCCTCCATGTTTACAGCCAGTGAGACACGCAGTTTTCCTTTGCTAGTTGTGCTTTTGAGAAGTTTTTGGACTGCACTTTGTCTGGCAGCTGCCCTGTCTTTGCCACCATGGCATTGCATGGGATCGTCTGAGCACATGAGCCACTCCACCATGTCAAGTTGGTGATCTGTGGAAATGCAGTGGAGAAAGAGTGGTTTGATACGTCGGGGTCTTGCTCAGCCATTTCTGAGGGCAGTTAAGAGTCAACCATTTTGCTATGAGTCTGGTGTCACCTATAGACCAGACCAAATAAAGATGGCAAATTTCCTTCCCTGAGGTTTTTATGATAATTTAGTAGTTTAAGGATTATTTTGAGACTAGCTTTTTCTTCCAGATATAAGATATAGTTGAAGTTAAATTCGCCCAGCTGCTGTGGTTTAAACTTGTCTCTTTGGAGCATGAGACCCTTAGATAACTCATCCATTCTTTAATGAAGACACTTGCAAAGTACCCCTTTAATACCTTGGCCATGGTCTCTTGCTTTTCCTTTTTATGATCCTTCTGGGTCACAGCCTTCCTTTTTTATTGTACCTATTTATATGTTTACAAGAGATATTTGCATTCCCTTTGTTCCTAATTTTAGTTACTACTCTATTCTCATGACTCTGCCTCTTTTGCTTCCTCTTCAATTCTCACTATACTTTTCCAATGAAATTTGATATTCGACAGAATGATTGGAACATTTAATTTTACTCTCTATACTTAATTATCCAGACAGCTCTAGCATTGAATGACCTTCCTTTACCCCTCATAGGAGTATTTCCAGTCCGTACCTGAACTATTTCTTTTTTAAAGGCCTCATCTTACTCATTTTCTGCTTTACCTGTTAGTCTTCGTTTCTGATCCACCTGGGCCAGATTCATTCTCAACTCTGTAAAATTAGCCCTGCTGGTTGAGTATTTTCACATTTAATTGTTCCTTTTCCATTACTATTATAAACCTAATGATATTACGATCACAGTTTCCTGAATGAAACATGTTTGACATGCCTCCATACCATTCCAGAGATGTAGCCAGCAACACTTTCTTCCTCATTGGTTTGGAAACATACTAAGCAAGAGTTTGTTCATGTGGAATCCTTCTCTCCATTTGCCTTTCAATTTACTATTTTCCCAGTCTGCATAGATAACCTAATTTCTTCTTTGTCAACAGTTCTTGCATCTTTCAGAAATGTGCTTGCAATATGCTCCTTTCTGGCGTTTACACTATTTGGTGGTATATACCCAGTAGCATAATAGCTTTTCAGCTGTTCTTCAATTCCAACTAAATAGATTTGAATCTTCATGCGCATTATCCATTTTTGGTGCTGTAACAGTATTTTTGAGCAAAGCTGCCGATCAACAAATTAATACAATTTGTAATTTTGAAAATCATGACCACAATGACTTTTGTTTAAACTGAGCCAGACGTCCACATAGATCTTGAAATAAATCAATCTTTCTTTAATCCATCAAAATGCAAATCCTTCAAGAAATATCAAATATTAAGTGCCTTCATAATGTTCTGCAGTCTCTCCAAGATGTCCTTTACTCTGACATTAGGGTGGGAACAATCCGTCAAGACTCACAGAAAATCCCTGTCTAAACCTCTGATCAAACCCCAATCATAGTTATATTTCCAGATTTTGTCTTGGCCTTCTGTACAGCCTTTTGTCCCATGGTGCTGAGAAAATGCTCTGGATTGCATTCCCCCACTGAGAACCTACTTGAGAGTGCCATATTCCAGAAGGAATCTTCACTTCCTGCATCTTCATACCTTGTCAGCTGACCACTCACTTACCATCTTCCTAAAATCTCGAGCTATGGGATGGCCACCTCCTGGAATGTGAACTCCAAGAAATACTGCAGTGACTCCAGCCGCTTTTGCTCTGAAACCCTGAGCTTAAGTGAGAACAACTGGAGGCATTTCCTACACATGGCTATCCGGCATGCACTGTATCCTAGAGTGACTGAGGAATTGCAGATACAGGTCTCAAATAGAAGCAGTGAGTGCAGGAGCAAACAGACAATGTCAAAAACTTATTCAAGTAAATAGTTAGCTGTTTTGTTTGCCTCAAACCTATTGAAAGAACGCAGGACATACTTATGATAATGTCACATATGAGAGTCATTAGTTATGAGGAGAGATTGAAGTTGTTTTACCAGAGCTAGGAATGTCTGAACAAAATGCCCAGAATTAAAAGGAGTCTGGCATGTTAAATTTCCATTGGGTGAGTTAGCACTGACTTTAGATGAGCAATTCAAAGGCCTGCCTGCAACTTTTGGGAATGTGAGGGTTAAACAAGAACATACATTCTCAAATGGAATGTCAGCCCTTTCTCTACCGTCTCCTTGTGGCCATAAATGAATAATATGTATTGTTTGAGGCTCACTGGAAACCTGTTACCTTTGTCTGACCAAACCGGCCGGAAGCCAAGACTGGTTTGAAGGACTATAACTTGCTGCAGATTCTATTATTGTGTCAAATACACCATGAGCAAAATGCTTAGCATTTCTAAGTAATTGAAGGACACTCGCTGATTACTAAAGATGTAGATTTTTCTGCTTTATCATTTTTATCATTTCTCTCCCACAGGTGGTTTTTGCCTGGGATTAAATCAGGAAGGTGCAACAGGCAGTCTGTCCTGGGCCGGAGTAATGTTTGGTGTGATTGCCAGTTTGTGTGTGTCCCTGAATGCCATATACACAAAGAAGGTTTTGCCAGCTGTAGATGGCAGCATCTGGAAATTAACCTACTACAACAATGTCAACGCCTGTATACTCTTTATTCCATTAATTACAATCACTGGGGAACTGAAAACATTGTACCTCTTTGACAAAATGAGCAGCACTAGTTTTTGGGGTGTAATGACTTTGGGAGGTATGTTTGGTTTTGCTATTGGATATGTTACAGGGCTGCAGATTAAATTCACCAGTCCCTTGACACACAATGTCTCTGGTACTGCCAAAGCGTGTGCACAAACTGTTCTGGCAGTGTTTTACTATGAAGAACTAAAGACCTTTCTCTGGTGGACTAGTAACATACTGGTCCTTTTTGGATCCTTTGCATACACCTGGGTAAAGGGATTAGAGATGAAGAAAGTGCAAGATGAAACAGCAAACAGAAATCGTGAGAAGAATGAAACTGGAGTCTAAAATATGGGTATTCAGTTAGACTTTGTCTGCAGTGGAAGCTTGATTGTATGCCATGATGGAGGAGAGTCTGGGTGGTCAGAGAATGGAAAGTGGCAAACATTCAAATTTGCACAACTGTCACCTTTTGGAGCACTCCTTCGTCAATCAATATGAGCTGACCTCTTCTCATCTAAGTTTTCCTCTCTACTGCCAATGACCAGAAGTAGACACTAACACATCATGTGCTCCATGGGACAATCACTGCAGCGTCCACAGTGCCAATATTAATAAAGTTGGTTTATTTAAGAGCATCCTCTGTGTTGTTGAAACACCACTTATTGAATGGTTGATAATTGTCCTTCACGCACTGGATTTGTTGGCAGATGCACTAACACACCACTCCTGCTGTACAAGTCCATGATCGTTTCTTGAAATCTTTGTGGGTAAATGGATTTGTACTATATATTAGAAAAATTCCAGGGAATACTTTTTTCATACAAATTATTGTTCATTGGCTATTGGTCTATAGCATTTGTTCATTTAGCATTTTCAGAAATTGATTGTCTTAGACTGTTACACTCCCAAGGAGCTCTTGTGAAAGCTGTAACTGCTTTTCGTCTCATTCTGCATTTCAATATACCTAGTATCAGTGTTTCATGTGGAAATTCTTTGTCCTGTACACTGCATATACTCATCTAATGTCCCCTTAAAAGCAGCTATATTATTTGCTTGAGCCACTCCTTGTGATAACAACTTCTACTTTCTGTTAATAAAGATGATCCTGTTTGATGTCTTCATCACTTTTTAATACTGATGGTCTCTAATTTTGCTCTTTCACACAAGTAGAAACAAATTGTAAAATGTTCTATGTAACATTAGGAGTTCTGTGGTAATGGTAGGGATGCTGTTTAAATAGCAGTTTATAAAATTGGAAGAGGCACAGGGTGATCAAAAGGTTTACTTTAGTTGTTTGAGACGCATCTTAATTGTTGAAAATTTTGCCTGAGGTAATCTGATTGTAAAAATTATTTTATTTTTTTCACTTAAATGGAAAACTCATTGTAGTTGGGCAAAAAGTACTATTTGACTGTTGTGGGGGTTTTCTATATGTACTATGTAATGGGTCTGAACCTACCAATTAAAATACTATATATCTAGAACATTTTTGATACTCTGAAAATAAAATCTTTTTAATCACTTTTTTTTAAATACTGTTTTTCATTTGGAAGCTAATTCCTGAAGTATAACAATTTGTTTTTAGTCAAGTTGAATATTAATAATATATAACTTTACTATGTTCAATATGCCCTGGTATGCAGGTATGAAGAGAGAATGTTAATGCACACTAGGATGCATTAAAGAAATAGATTGACTAAATCGTCTTGCAGGTGTGTTGATCATACAATAAACTCCACAAAACCAGAAAGGAAATGCCTTTACTTAAATTAAATCAAATGATTGTAGCACACTCCTTTATTGTAACTAATTATTTAATAGCCCTGTTTACTGTTTGCAATATGGGTTATCAAAGTTGAGTACTGCACCTTAAACTGGAATTTGAACTAAATGGAAATATACTTGCACAAAGTAAAAGTCTATCTGTGACTTGAATAGAAATATCAGTTGAAAGAAATGTAAAATGGGATTGTTGACTTGCGAGCGCTGGTTTTGCCATCACTCAAAACCTACACGTTTGATTCCAAAGTTGTTTTATTCTTTGAACCAGGAAACAATCTTGAGATGCTACACAGAACATAAAGCACAGAAACAGACCATTCTGCTCAATGAGCCAATGCCAGCTTTTATGCTCCATTTCAGACTCTTCCTATCCTTCCTTATCTAATAATCAGCATAACCTGCTATTCCCTATCCCTCATATGTTTGTCTGACCTCCTTTAAATTCGCTGTACTCAACTGATACTACAATCCACATTTGCACCAGCTCTTCAGTTAAAGAGGTTTCTTCTGAATTCTCTATTTAGTTTCTTGCTGACAATCATATCTTTTAGATTGTTAATTTTGCTGTTCTTAAACGTGGAATGTTCTGAATAAGTGGAATTTTTGTGGTGATGTTGGAAAACCGTTGTTTTGGCAACATGGGTTTAAAGGACACTATGATTTGTGGAAATGTATTAATAGTATCGCCCTATTCACCAATGCAGTGGAATAAAGTTCATTATCTGTTTATGGATACATTCATTACTCTCTCCCTTTCTGAAGTTAAAACTGTCTTAGGCACCATTAGTAGTCTCGGATTGAAACAGGAGAATTCACATTTATAATGTACATTTCACAACTGAAGGATGTTCCAAAGCACTTAACAGCCAACAAATTTACTTTTTGAAGTACAGTCATGGTACTTGTTGGCCAGTTTGCATAATTTTGATTCCTCAAATGACATAAAATAAACAACTGATTAATATGTGGTAGTGAACATGATTGAGAGATAAATGCCAGGAAACTGGGTAGGTACTGAAAACATTTTGTGTCCTGATCAGGCAGAGCGGACATTTAATCTGCTTCCTGATAGTGTAGCACTCCCTCAGTACCACTTTGGAACGCCAGCCTTAATTAGAGAGGACATTGACCTAGAAACAGTAATGGTTTCATTAGGGCTTCCAACTCACACTTCCTTCCCTCAGATAACAGTGTTGCATGAAGCTTATGTTGCATCAGTAATGAACAGTGGCTATTCATGTTTCCTCATTCTTGACTTCCCCTATCAGAGGAAGTAGTATCTGAGTGTCTACTCAACTGTATCATATACAGGAAATGATTAATTTATTTTGCCAAATATTTTAAGAGATCAGTATCACTGCAACAGAGCAATGGAATAATGAAGAACTATTTAGATTTTAATTGAATTAAAAATCAATCTGCCAGAGGATTTTATGCATTCAGTACATTTCTCTAATAGGGCTAATTTAGTCTACCCTGTGTAAGATGCCAGCTGCAAAACAGTAGTTCACTTGTTTCTAGATTGTTTAAAAAGAACATAAAATAACTCAGTTGGATCATTCTGAAGCGGACTGAGTCAAACTCACCTAAAATTATTTTGTTTAAAATATCATCATTAAGGAACTAAACCATGTTTAAATATGTGTTTTACTGTTTGTATCCCTTTTAAGCATTGACAACTGGGTGCAGTGCTGCTTAGCTTCAGGATCCTGATTAAGGAAAACACTGTTAGCAAACTTTTGCATTTTTGTTCTTCTTGTGCTGGTCCAGAACTTTTACTTCTAGGAGACAATATGGTGTGGGTTGGCACATTGTGGATCAAAATTTGAATCAGCTTAAATTCCTTTGCCTTAAGATCCTTACAACGAGTCAAACAAGATTCATAAAGTCTGATTGAGTTCAAATACATGTAACAAAATAGGGAGAGAGAAAAGACCAACATCTTAAGATGTTCCAATCAAAAATTCTTCCGCAGTTAGTATTACATTTAAGGATGAATATTCATGTTCAGATAATGGGGAGCAAAACGCAAATTATTTATATCTCACGTCTGAGCTATTCTAGGCCACATGAAAATCTATTGAATGATTTATTCCGTGCTTCTATCAATACTGCCTTGAGCTGATTAAATCTGAGAAATTATTAACCTCCACACAAGAGTTCCCATGCCAAATGAAAACAAAACAAATTTCACTTGTCTAAACAATTAGTGAATTGATCATGACTTTGATCCCAGTCAGGTGAGGAATATAATGTTTCATAGTATATTTTGGCAACGGGGACAGGACAAAGACTTCAATGACCTCGTCAGAGCTACCAAGTGACTAAACCCTGTACTTGTCAATCAAGTAACAAAATTGAATGGGAAATATTGACAGAATAAAATAACCAAAACTGGTAATAACAGGAAGTAAGGTTTGTGGATGTCTTAAGGCAAAAATTAATGGACAGTGTGCTATGAATGCCAAGATGCCAGGCAAAGATGACTGCATGGGCAAATGGCAGCCAGTGTCTCTTGCTATTTGTATAGGCTGTGAATTATCTTCATACCACAGTTTGAGCAAACCATGAATATCAGCAATAAGGAACAAACCTGAGTTACAATTTAAAAAGAAGCTAAGTGGGCAGTTGATGTATTTTTTTACTTGAATCACACCCACATGCATTTTCGGTGTGAAACCTTGCCTCAACTACCAAGATCAGGGTTTCTAATCTGAGATAAGGTGTAGAGCTGGATGAACACAGCAGGCCAAGCAGCATCAGAGGAGCAGGAAAGCTGACGTTTCGGGCCTAGACCCTTCTTCAGAAATGGGGGAGGGGAAGGGGGTTCTGAAATAAATAGGGAGAGACGGGGAGGCGGATAGAAGATGGATAGAGGAGAAGATAGGTGGAGAGGAGACAGACAGGTCAAAGAGGCTGGAATGGAGCCAGTAAAGATGAGTGTAGGTAGGGAGGAGATAGGTCAGTCCAGGGAGGATGGATAGGTCAAGGGGGCGGGATGAGGTTAGTAGGTAGGAGATGGGGGTGGGGCTTGAGGTGGAAGGAGGGGATAGGTGGGAGGAAGGACAGGTTAGGGAGGCGGGGACAAGCTGGGCTGGTTTTGGGATGCGGTAGGGGGAGGGGAGATTTTGAAGCTTGTGAAGTCCACATTGATACCATTGGGCTGCAAGGTTCCCAAGCGGAATATGAGTTGCTGTTCCTGCAACCTTCGGGTAGCATCGTTGTGGCACTGCAGGAGGCCCAGGATGGACATGTCGTCTGAGGAATGGGAGGGGGAGTTGAAATGGTTCGCGACTGGGAGGTGCAGTTGTTTAGTGCAAACTGAGCGTAGGTGTTCTGCAAAGCGGTCCCCATGCCTCCACTTGGTTTCCCCGATGTAGAGGAGGCCACAACGGGAACAGCGGATGCAGTATACCACATTAGCAGATGTGCAGGTGAACATCTGCTTGATGTGGAAAGTCTTCTTGGGGCCTGGGATGGGGGTGAGGGGGGAGGTGTAGGGACAGGTGTAGCACTTCCTGCGGTTGCAGGGAAAAGTGCCGGGTGTGGTGGGGCTGGAGGGGAGTGTGGAGCGGACAAGGGAGTCACGGAGAGAGTGGTCCCTCCGGAAAGCAGATAAGGGTGGGGAGGGAAAGATGTCTTTGGTGGTGGGGTCGGATTGCAGATGGCGGAAGTGTCAGAGGATGATGCATTGGATCCGGAGGTTGGTGGGGTGGTACGTGAGGACGAGGGTTTGGTTTCTAATCTGTCAGGTTTAAAAATTGAGAAATTGCAGTGACCAGGAATGGAACTCATAATAGAAGATTGCATTATTTTTGTACTTATGAAGGTGCAAATAAAATGTTCCAGTATT